GTGAAACATTATAACAAACTCGGATCATGGTGGTAGCTTACCTTATTTAAATCATATTTGATATATTAAACACAGTCAACTTATTTTCAGTGTCTATTTGTCAGCTCTAATTATTACTGTAGTCATTTGTAGTTTTCACATTCCTCATCCGTCTGTTTTTTTGCTTCCAGTGAAACGGGGAGCCCTTCCAGACTGAAGAAAGCCTTAGTGGAACACGTTCTGTGCAGCCCCAAAGAGCTGCTGAAGCTGAGTGTGCCCTCGCTGGTGTACGCCGTTCAGAACAACATGGCCTTTCTAGCCTTGAGTAATCTTGATGCAGCAGTTTATCAGGTGTGGACTGAATCCTGTTTGCTTAGTAGTTGTTTAAGGTAACTTACAGTGCATGTGTCTATGTCAATATGTTGGCAGGGTGTGGAGCTTTGGTGAACCTGTTGAGTCTGTGCTGCACCCACACTATGGATTGAAAATCTCAGCAAAGTGTCACATTTGAAAAGCCAGGACTAGAGATTGCTTGTGTTCCTCATTGTTCAAAAACATTTCAGGCATTCTCCCGACTAGTTGTGCACTTACAGACACACAGTGTTAGGAGGCAGATGCTTTAGCTTGCAGATGTAGGAACATTGACTCCTGAGAAGTTTGAAGTTCAATATTCATTTTTGTTGTCATAACATCTGCAGTATGTGTTAAACTGAATCAGTGTGATGCAGAACACGTTAGCTCAGGTTCACTATAATCTGGATTAAAAAAAAATAAAAAATAACCTGTGTTTGTCCGTTTAGGTGACCTATCAGCTGAAGATCCCGTGCACAGCGTTGTGTACAGTCCTCATGCTGAACCGCTCTCTCAGCCGGCTGCAGTGGTTCTCTGTCTTCATGCTCTGCGGGGGCGTGACGCTCGTTCAGTGGAAGCCCGCAGAGGCTACTAAAGTCCAGGTGGGTGTGGTTCAAGTGAAAGTTTAAAGAAACCCGGTCACTGTAAATAATAATCCTTGTCCTGTAACTGACACTATTATAGGTTTGGCTTTTTATTACCCATGATGCCTTCACAGTCATTCATCGTGTTCCATTTCTTTTCTTTTCTGTCTTTACAGATTGAACAAAATCCTTTTGTTGGCTTTGTGGCCATCGCTATTGCTGTGCTTTGCTCTGGATTTGCAGGTAAACTCGCCTCAATCTGTGTAAAAGAGTAGGAGTGAGCTATCACTGATTTATTTATCGACACGATGCAGTAACCTTTGATTAACTTAACAAACACTGTGCAACAGGCAGAAACAAAATGCAGACTTTAGGTGATACAAATCACAATAAATATCAATTGAGGCACAATCAAATGTATCGTCAAAGATAAAAGACAATGCATGATATACAGCTGTTGTGCAGATCACAGTGTAACTGAAGTCAAGATAATGGCGCCAGCTGTTTCCCCACCACGAGTCATTTTAGGCATCGCCTTTCTCATGGAGTCGTCTGACTTTTAATCACGTGTTTAACGTGTTAAAAACAGTGTTGTGCGTACTCTCTGATTGCAGGTGTGTACTTTGAGAAGGTGCTGAAGAGTTCCGACACGTCTCTGTGGGTGAGAAACATCCAGATGTACCTGTCCGGCATCGTGGTCACCCTGATCGGTGTTTTTGTCAACGATGGAGATAACGTCTTGGAGAAAGGCTTCTTCTTCGGTTACACTCCCTGGGTGTGCTTTGTCGTTTGTGAGTACGACTCAACAGGAGGATGCTGCGGCTGTGTTCCTTTTTTTGCTTTCACTTTTCTTTCCGCGTTAACGACGTTAACTGTTTGTGTTTCCAGTCCTGGCCAGTGTGGGTGGTCTGTACACGTCGGTGGTGGTGAAGTACACGGACAACATCATGAAAGGATTCTCTGCCGCCGCCGCCATACTCCTCTCAACCGTGGCGTCGGTGCTCCTGTTTGGACTACAGATAAGTACGTTAGCTTCTCGTTAGTTTCCTGGGCTCGGCGGTGAAGTGGTTAGCGCTGTTGCCGATGCGATGGTTCGAGTCCTCGTCGGACATGGCCTCTCCGGGCTGTGAGTGTGACTGGTTGTTTTGTCTCCGTATGTCAGCCCGGTGATTGGCTGGTGAACAGCCCAGGGTTTACCCCGCCTTTCCACCAATGACAGCTGGGATTGGCTCCAGCCTCCCAATTACCCAGAACAGGAAAAGGGAATAGATAATGGACGGATGTAGTTTCCAGTTTCCTAGAAAGTTAATGGAATTGGAAATTGAAAGTTCTTAATACTACTACCCCAAGGGAGTTTCAATATGTTACTTATTGTATTGAGAGAATGAGATCGGACCATCGGGGACATCAAAAGAAATGTAATAAAATAATGAAGGAACACTTTAGGTGTCTTTTTTTAAAACTTTTGAGACAATCAAAAGGAACTTTGTTGGCTTCCATCGTTCATGAAACATCAGCACACAAGCCGGGTATCCTGACTTGGAGATGATGAAATAACCACGTCTGATCAGTAGTAGACTAAGGGGGGCATTCATATGGACTGACCCCAAATCCAGCCCTAATTACAGTTGTCATTACTTATGTTTAAAGTTTTGTTTTTTTTGTCAAGAAAGTTTTAAACTCACCGTAACTACATCAACTGTAATTTGTCTTAATTAGCTTCCTGTGTCATCGAGAACAAACACGTTTCTTTCTGGCAAACTTGTCCGTATATTGCCACCAAATTTTCATCTTTCAAAGCACTTTCAAAAATACTAATCTAATGTGTGTTTTTCTTTTTCCTCTTGTTGCGCAGCCATCTCTTTTGCCTCCGGATCCTTCCTGGTGTGTATTTCCATCTACCTTTACGGACTCCCAAAGCAAGACACGAGCAAGGTGAAAAATGTGGATCACACAGACCCAGAATCCAAACAGAAACTGATCAGTGTGTGAGCCCTCAACCTCATGGACCAGGTCTTTCCTGGGGGAGGGGGGGGGGTCCAGGTCAGGTCTTATGAGCCAAGAGGAGATTTGGAAGCCACAGTGAACTGTTTTTAAGTTGAATTGGCTCCTCAGTTCATCACATAGACGACTATTGTCCTTCAGTCCAGCTCACTCTTACCCACGAGACCCGTGACAGTGATATGAATTTTGGGGTAATATGAGATAACATTGTTTTTTATTTCAGTTAATCTGCCTTTTTTTTTTTTTTTTTTAAAGATGGTAAGAAATCAGAAACAATCAGAGAGGTCTTTGTAATTTATCTTTAGCCAATGCTGGAGCGGTTAACAGAAACATGACTCTGTGTATTTGGGATCAGAGGTACATGTATAAATATCCTCATCATGAAGGTTTTTATTTTAGTCTGTTCAAACTGTGTAATGTGAGTATCTCACTTTGTTATCACAGAGTGCTGATTGTGAATGTGCCCGGCTCACAGAGAAACACAGATGACGACAGAATGCACTTGTGATTATTTGTTTATGACATCATCTCTTCAGTGTCTTTTATCTTTTTTTGTATCACATCTATGCTGCCTTTTTTCTGAAGTCATATTTAATTTGATTAAAAGTGACTGGAAAAAGCTTCAATCGCCGCCCGGTCTCCTTCGCCTAAATCGTCATTGTCCAATCGCAGATTAGCGTAGCAGAGCGAGGCGCAGCATGCCGGTCGAGCGGTGGAAATCATCCACGTGTATGGAGGTGAATATTAAGAGTGCTTCCATTCACCTAAAATTTCCAAGTTTTATCAAATTTACTGATTAAAAAAAGACAATGAGTGTAAGGAATAGTTCTTTTTAATATCAGTTAGCAGCCTTTAAGTAAAACTAGCCAAGGCTAAAGCTAATTCAAATAGTGTGCAGTAATTCCCCCCTTCATAAAATAAAATTAATGGGTGGGGAATACAGGTCATGATACAACATCATACCCAACAGGTGGTCCATTAAAATACTAATAATAATACCAACTTATACAGTGTTTTCTGTGTACTCAAAGACGCTTAACAAAAAACAACACAACGAATAAATAGTGTAAGAGAAGGTGGAGAATCAGGACGGATTGCATCAGTAAACTTGAGTGTGCCGATGGAGGAGCTCAGACAGGTAGGGGGGGGTGCCACGTTTGGAGGGCTTTGTAGGTGAGGATGAGGAGTCTAAAGTGGATACGTTGGGGGATGGGGAGCTAGTGGAGGTCATGAAGGACGGGGGTGATGTGGTTGAAATCAAAGGACGGATGATGCATCACAATATCATAAAGTTGACCATATGAAATGCCCCTAGAGTTCAAGTGCAGGATTAATATATGTATTCATTGCAATTTGGTGACAGCTGCACGTCTTATCAAGCTTCAACCTTTAGCTTCTTTTCACCACGGTCAGACTTTGTCCCCTCACCATCGTCTTCTTCTCCAGCCTATTAAAGTCCCTTCACGTGACCCTCGTTCATCATGTCGTATGTGCCGTTGAGAGAAGTCTCACTGTGTACAGTGCTGAATTTTCTAAATGTGAAATCAGCGATTTTTGGCACCAGCAATTCCATTATTTTATCACACAGGTCAGGACGTGTATTTGTAGTTTATTGTTTGTTTTAACGGTTTGAGAGTTTGTCTTTATCGTCAATTTGAAGCTGCATTTTTTTTTTTACAATACTGACCATTGTACTGTACTATGTTTTTATTTTCTTTGTCCACCTTTTTTAAAATCAGTGAGTCAGTTAAATACCAGCGACACCTTTTCGTTTCATTAGTTTACCCATGAGCCTAAAAGAAAATATCAGTCCGTCATTACATTCACGGACTTTAAGTGTGAAGGTGGAACCTGCTGAACCAGTTTAACCTTCAGCTATTGATAACAAACGCTCCCAAACTGACATCATCATCATCATCATCATCATCGGTGTGTCAAGTTTTTAAAAAAAAGCAGCATAGTCACATAATATAACTCTGGTTTTACAGCTTTCAACTCCAATTAACATAAAACCAAAGTTTATCACTGCTGATCAAAACCTGAACCGGCGATCAGTCAAAAAAAATACAGAAGATTATTTTATTTTAAAATAGATTTTTAATTTACAATAAAAAAAAAACAATACAGCAGTGAAATGACACGGATTAAGTGATAACAAACTGTGTTGAGGTTCACATCTTATCAACCGGTGTGATTCCCAGGATCCTCATCCCGTTAGCCAGGACTGAGCAGGCCGCACTGAACAGTCGCAACCTGGCCTGTAGACATTAAGCACATCAGATAAGATCACGTTTTCAGTAGGAAACACAGCTGAACCTCACAACCTAAATTAAGTATTTGTCTTCAGTATTGTTCTCTGACATTTAAAATGCTGGGGATAAATTGGTGCTCCATTGAAATCAGGATCCAGAAGTGCCATGCCAGACTTATTAACTAGTTTAAAAAAGAAGTGTCAATATGTAAAAGTACAACCTGTGTCTGCATTTCGTCCGCTGAAGTTAAAAGTCATTCACTTTGTGATCTGAAGTACAAAACTATGCTATGCTTCATCTCAAAGAAGCCATCTTTGACTGAGCATAGTTTTGTATCTTTCTAGGATGAGTTTTCTCCACACAGGCATTGATATGGATTAGTTCTCACATGAATTCACTGAGAAAATAACAAGGTCTCTAATGACCAGTATCTTCTGCTGGCTCATGTTCACAAACTTCATCTACATTTAGACAAAGTGCAGTGGAGTCAATTTCCTAGCGTCTCTATTTCTACGGATATTAAACAAGGGTTAGGGTTCTCTGCTCTACAGATGGGAGAGTCTAAATAATAAAACATATTGACAGGCATAGTCTCCCACTGTGAGGAACAGTCCCCCCAGAAATTATCGAGATATAAGAAGGGCCGTCTAACAGGCAGCCTGAGCATTCTCGTAAAATTGCGACTTTTTTCCTAATATCTTTAAAATATTGGCCTAATACTCTGTGGTAGTGCTAGAAAATACCCTACACATAAACAATGAAAGGAATGCAATGCCTCTGGTCTACCATTACAGTTAGATATTATTTAGGTTTGGTGATTGATTTGCACTGCGGCTGTCTCCTGTCTTACACTGAACAAATAAAACCATGCAGTATGTCGTCTTGGCCATCCTAATTCAAATATATCTGTTCCTTTTTTGAGTAGTGGATTTAGTGCAGATTTGGACGGGGCGTCCACTCTGGAGAGGGTCTTGTTTTAGTGTTGCAGACCAGGATTGACTCTTTGCACGTTGACACTGCATGGTGCGTTGAAAAGATAAACCGTAGTAAGTGTGTGTGTGTTTTTACTCATTACCTGTGCAACATCCTGATGGCTTCCTTTCACCGGCAGCTCTCTGTGTGCAGAGGCGATCAGGTGGCTGGAAAAGATGGGAAAAGAAAACAGGAGAACAATTAGTTCACACTTTTATCACACCTAGTATAAACACGTCTACTGTGCATAAGAAACAAGGCAAACATTAATCAGGAGAAGATCCAACCCTCTAAGGACCAACATCCTGTTCCTTACCTCAGCTTCAATAAAAAGTTGACCAGGTGTTTGGGCTGCAGATCCTGGACTGACTGGAACAACACTTCATCATAACTGTTGTCAAAGGAGAGCACAGCCCGTACTGAGTTACACATGTAGCAAATACTGATACAACACCTGCAGATTGTAATGTCAACACAGAGAGGAAGACACGTTGCTTACCGAAGGAGGTGCTGCAGGATGCTTACACTCGTCTGCTCCAGCAGAAGAGATGGATCAAATATGGCTGCCTGGGCTTCTTCATTCCTCCGTATTAAACTGCAGGAGAAAAATGCAAAGTAGAACTATAAATGAAGAACTTAATAAGTAAGCATCCTGTTTGGTTCCTGGGTATTTCTTGGAGGACCACTTGCATCCAAAACTATATATAATTGAATCCTGTGAGTAATGTAGAAAAACTCCAAACCTTGAGAATCTTCTCTTTGGTTAAAAAAAAATCAGAAACTGAAAACCTTTGAAGTTCTTCTCGACAAAAATAAGCCAACGTTTGGGAAATTGAGGACTGTAACTTCCCTACACTTCAAAGTTTGCCATTATTAAAGCACCAAAATGAAAACAGGAGTTTGAGGAACTGATGAATACACACCTGCAGAGTCGAGCATGTGTGTACTGGAGGAACACTCCTGTGTCTCCCTGAGCCTGCAGCATCCGCTCCCAGTCGAACGAGTAGTCGGACTGCAGGGGACCTTTGAAGTCCTGAAACAAAGTCAATGAATCACACTCACTAAGACGTTTCCTTTCACAGTGGAGTGATACAGGTCAGACTGTATGGAGAGCGTATAGGAAGGTTTCAAGAAAACTATTCACCTGGACTATTAGCGCACTGATTCCTACTTTCTCTGCCGTGTCCTCTGGATTTTCCAGTTCCTTTGTCGCTGTGAAGAAAGTGAAAGCTTGTGTCACTTCTTTCCCACAAACTCAGCTTCATATTCCCCACCTTCAAAGTTTATTCAGCACCATCATGTCCGTTAGCCGAACATTAGGATGTGTGGTGTTGGTTAGCTTTCCTTATGAACACAATAGTTTAGTGTTAGTTTTGTTTATCCTGATTTTAAAAAAGCCCCATGTACGGAGGCTGTAGTCCTCCAAGCGGGCAGCCCCAGTTCAAATCTGACCTGTGGCTCCTTTCCTGCATGTCCTTCGCCCCTCTCTCTCTCTCTCTCTCTCTGCCTGATTTCCGACACTATCCACTGTCCTATCTGTACAATAAAGGCCCAAAAATAAATCAAAAAAGTATCTGTCTGTAAATCTGAGATTCCTTGGAGCCAGATTTCAGTATTGAAATGTAGTTACTTACACGACATTTAAAGTCTAAAATACCAGGAACCATGCAAATATTCTTTAGGCTACAAGTTATTAGTGCTCGCTGTGGTTGGAGAATGCCTTCATGTAAGAATGGTTTTACTTGTCGAGCGGCTCATGTTGTGGAGCATTCTGGATCGAGCTTCATCCAGCACATCCTCCAGAAACACCACCTCACCGCTCCGGGTCTTCATACCCCGCACCAGGCCAAAGGGCACATGTTGACAACTGCAACCAAACATACATGCACGTATTCATCTGTATTTTTAAGGAAAAGTGACACAACACTTTAATTATGCTCTCTAACGAGCAACATACCGCTGCATCCACTGATTTAAAACACAACAACAAGAAAAACTACGCCTACCATATATCTACAGACCACTTTAGTTTCTAGAAATGATGTTGAGTAGAACGATGGTGGCACATAATTAATACAAGATATCATAAAGTATATAACGTACATTATATACTCAAGCAAAGCACTTAAAAATGATTTAATGTATTTGGTTACATTTCACAAATGATTGCTGCAACAGCTCCAACAAATCACATCATCCAAAACAGATGTTTCTAATTAAAACAGATGTCTGTACTGGGCGGGGTGAAGTAACTAATTTCAACCGAATTCATTTAAAATGCCTTTTGACTTAGTTTCAGGCTGTAAAAAGATAAATACCCTCTTTTTAAACAAGTAGAGTTTCTATTATTTTTTCAGACTTGTACACCTATTTGTATTATGTTCATTATTGAGAGAGTTAAAAAGTTACATGAAGGTATTTTATATCTCTCTAAGGAACATTAACCTTTAGTTAAAGACCGCTAATAGCTTTCATTCAGCCTTTCTTGTGATGCATCGTGTGCGGTTCTTCTACCTGTCAGCCCAAGAATGTCCCGCAGATAGCAGGATCTGGAACAGCTGGCTGAAGTGATTCGCTTGACTCTTATCCGTCTGCAGGAGAAGAAGATATGAGGATGAACGACGTGCAGAGACAGAAGGAGGAAACAAGCTGTCTTGTATATGTGAATTTGTTCAAATCAAATTTTTAAGGAACGTCAAGTTAGACCAAAGAAAATGTCAAGAACGTGACTGCAGCAGATTTCTTACCACGTAAATCATCTCATTGAAATGATACTTTTCTTTTCGGTCGATCGCTGCAGCGAGATCTCTAATGAAGGAAGAGGAAAACAAGCTGTTGTTGTTGTGTTAAGAAAACTGACTGACTTTGATTTATAGTCGGAAAAATCTAAACGTCCAAAATGTGCAGCTGTAAGTAACAGACTGTATTGAATACTCATTCATGTTTAAGACAGCCAACAGCTTCTAAAAAGTGCTATGAAAACAAACAACTTTTCATCTTCATTATAGGTTATATGATGAGCTTTATGAAGGACTCCGATGATATTACATAAACCCTGATCCTGATCTGACCCTGACTCCGGTATCCTCTTTAGGCCAGGACAACCACAGAGTGGAATTCAACGTTTCTATGGTTCATGAAGGAAGCGGTTATTAAACATTCAGTATTACAGATGTGTCCTCACGCTGGAATTAAGAGAACAACAAGCAGACAGACCAGTCGACCTGCAAGATAACAGGAGGAAGAAAGAAAAAAGAAAAGAAAAAGGGAAAGAAGAGGGAAAGGGGTATCAGTACAGACCTGGTGATGTAGAGAGTTGTGCCGTCACTGCGGAGCACCGTGCAGACGCTGCTCATGTCTCCAGCAGGTGAGAGATCCACTACACCTGTTCCTCTTCTACAAACACAACAACTCAACATGAAGTCACCACTATTTCAGCTCGCACTGGGCTGGAAGTCATTTCATTCACAATGAATAACTTAAAAATACAATTCTACATGAACATCACAGCCACCAGATAACAAAAAAATACAAGATCTGTGAGAATCGTGTCTCTGAATAAATGTTGAAATTTATTCACGATTCAAGGATCTAAAAAAAAGATTAGAAAAGGATGACTCAAACTGTTCTGATACGAATAGCATGAAATTGTTTTTTTCAAGGGATTTTAATCAAAATATTGAGTGACTGGGACATTTTGAAGTGTCAGTAAGCAGATTACTCAATGCTACTTTGAAACTTGAAGGTTGTCAAGCAGCCCAAACAGTCTAAAGCCTAATTCAACAGTTAGCTTTTGGTAGCAGCCCAGAAACTTAACAAACTGAGCATCCTGGCTTCCTGTAACGTGTACTTAAAGTGTGCTATGAGAATGATAGTCACATACTTAGAGGTTTTCAGCAGGCCTTGATTCTGCAGCTGCTGCACCTCCTCCTGGGCCCGGTCCTGGTGAAAAGACTCTCCGGAGTAAACATCAAAGTGGACGCCCAACCTCTGCAAAACATTTGAAATGAAAAACAATAATTCTTAACAAAAGGCCGTTATATTTGTTCTATTTATATTTTAATTTCTCCCTGGACAAAAATCAAAAACTTTTATCTTCTCTTGTCAAAATAGTTCCCTACAGATTTCTGAGCTATTACTTTACAAATCTAATTTTCCCCCGTCAAGATTGAATATCCCTCTATATGCTCCTCAGTGGCTGCTTACTTTTAACAGTTAAAGGAGATTTCTTATGCTGATCCTTGTTTAAATACATGTGTATAATGTTAGGATGTTGGATGTGCATACTAAACCTTGGCAAAGTTTTATTAAACACAAGATACACAGAAATTCTCGGACGTTGTTTTTCTGCTGTTATGGAAACCTCACGAGACTCGGCCTGAACCTGACGTCTGGTTCTGTCTACGTATTAGTGCAAAGCATATAGCAAAGTAATAGGACATGCCCACCCCAGCAGCTCACTTAATTATCCCTGCGACTGCAGACAGGGCAGGCCGATCAGAGGAAAGTTTGCACGTGGGGAGGCGGGCCTTAAAGAGACAGCGGCTGAAATGAAACGTTTCAGGCAGAGGCTGAAATGAGGGACTTTTGCTGTCGATAAAGATAAATAAGGAGGTTTTGAGCTAAACATCTCGTAACGCTACTCAATGGGTGTCCCGGACTGAAATAAGTAATGGTGAAAGTGTAGACAATAGATCTCCTTTAAATGAATCACTCACTCAGATGTTTTAATGTGTAAAATGTATGTGTCTGCTGCATGTAGTTTGTCTGAAATCTTCCATATGGTAAAGGCTTCAGGCATTAATAATAATAAAAATAACCATGTAGGGATAGTCAGTCTTTATAATGATGGTCTGTTCGTCTTTTGTAGGTCATAAAGAGAAATCAATGATCATTTTAGTCTGTTTCATAACCAGCTAAAAACTCCCCACAGGACCTTTACTGTTGCGATAAATTGCCTTTTTATTTTTTGATCCTGATTGTGAAATACTTTGTAATCGACTGCTTTAAAAGTGCTGTGTAAATAAAACTTGACTTGGTCACTACATTTTTGTCTCTTGGTCTTCCGGCTTGTCGTACCTTGTACACACGTTGATACTCGACCACTGTGATCTCTCTGAACTGTTGCCATAACGACACAGCTTCCCCCTCGTGCTGCTCCAGCTGTCTAAAGAAATCTCTGGCGGCCTGTTTCATATCTTCATTGTGCTCTGCTTCCTTGTTCACCTGGACGTAAACCTGCAACACCACCACAATACTGCTGAGGAGAAGTCTTTGAAAGAGTAACGCACACGTGTAGAGGAACATTACACAACGTTTCTAGATAATTGGCAGATAAAGCAGCTCTTTGTTATGAGGGTGTGCCTGTCTTTGTTCCTCTCACCTCAAATAAATGCTGTAAGGGATTCTGTTTCAGTTTTTCCTGACATCCAAACTGACTGAACCCAGCTCCCAGCAAACCTGAAACACAAGAAGCAAACAGAGAAGTGATTTAATCAGACCTGAAAAACAAACGTGGAATATTTTGCACACATCATTTACTCACCAAACTGCATCCCCCAGTCTCCGAGATAGTTCATTCGAATAACATCGTGTCCAAGCGACTGCTTTAAGTTAGCGATGAAGTTACCTGGAGAAGAAGGTGTACGGTAATTTAATCTGCACACCTCCACATTGATAACTTAGTTAAAATTCCCATTTTTTTACTCTTGATGTTTTATATTGTGTTCTGATTGTTTTTAACTAATTTTACTGCTGATGTTGTCCTTGCATAGGTTGTCTTCTGTGCTCCACAAATCCCCCTTGTGGGATGATAAAGAATCTGATATAAGTCAGTCCTGTTGACTAGCTTCAATTAACTCAAAATGAAAGTTTACAATACAACTGAGTAGAAGCAAGGTTTCTTAGTCCAATACCAATACTGACACTTCTACATTTAAAAAACAAGGAGTGTACAGCAAGGTCAGGTAAACTGTAAAAATCTAATCGTCACTGCTCTCTGGTGGACAAACTACAGAAAGGTGTTTCAATGTAATATGCACCAGCCAAAAGCACACGTTGTGAAAACAAAGGTATCTACAGAATTTAGAGCAAATATAGGGTTTTCTCTTTAGCTTCTGTGATGCTGTGAAACAGAGATTTTCTTGAATGGTTGTCTTACACAAAAGATCTCATACTGCTGCAACCAAGGTACTTGTATTCCTTGACTGTTTTGGTCTCATTAATTGAACGAACTGACTCAAGCACCAATCCTCACCAATAATTGTAGAGCGCAGATGTCCAGCGTGAAATTTCTTGGCAATATTTGGAGAGCTGAAACATGAAAACACGTTAAAACTCTCTGTTAAGCAATCACACGTGTGTATGTTCAGAAGAAAAATCTAAACAAACTATGTAACATAGATGTAACACACCTATACTCAACTAAAGTTGTTCCTCTCTTTAGACTGTTGAAAGTTCACTGTTGAACCCAAATTTGTCATCCTCGTCTTTTCCAAACAGCTCCAACATTTTCTGCAAGAGATGTAGAGGAAGAGGTTATAATAAAAATTAAAAAAAAGCCAAAAACACAGTCAGGAGTCAGGATCTGTTGTTTTCATCAATGAGGAAAAAGAAAAAGTCACAAACCTGGACAAGAAGTTTGCGATTAACCTTGAAATGTATCACTCCAGGTCCAGCCGATATCTCCTCCACCACACTGTCCTGCTCCAGCTGACGACCACAAAGCAGGTTTGGAAACAATAAACACAGAAACCTTTGTCGTTTCAAGTGCAGGATTATACTGAGCAGGAAGACCAAGAGTGGTCAGCAATAGGTAAAGCATCCGAAATCTTTGGATAAGGGTCTGGTTTGGTATCAGCTGGTATCTTACACATGTGAAGCCACAAAAATATGATGAAAAATTAATTTAAAACATAAATACCATCTCAATTCAGGCTTGTACACGACCAAAAGAAGGCGTTTTTACAGGATAAGACAAACCAAGAATGTCAAAGAAATCCTATAGAGAGATATATTACAAAACCCTGTCCAATTATGTCTGTCTAGTCTACATGCTAAGACGCTGATCTTGAAGCACAGTGTATTTTCTGTGATGGTATGTGAAGTGTTATGAAGACAAGTTAAGCATTAAAATGTATACTTAGGTCTTAGTTTAACTTACAGACAAAAATCAAAGCAGCAAGTGAAGCGTTACTGTTTTTACTTCCCCAGAGATCCTGTGAGCTGCATGTGGAGGTAAACGTTAAAACCACAAAGTGCTACAAATGTGTGTGCATGAAAGATAAAGTAGATGACTTTGGGCTACACGTTCCCAGTAAATAATAAAGACAAGTAAGCGTTGATGTTTGGTGCCTTTGCATTGTCATCAAATTTACATCAGCTTTGAATTATTATGCACTGGCAGAGTTAGTATTTTGTACTGTTATCTATGAGTAACAGCTACTTATGCACATGGACCATCCAGACCACTGTTTTATCCTGGCTATGTATTGTGGGCTCATGTTTTTTGTGTGGGTGGGATATGTACAGTGGGTACGGAAAGTATTCAGACCCCTTTACATTTTTCACTCTTTGTTTCATTGCAGCCATTTGCTAAAATCAAAAAAGTTCATTTTGATTTCTCATTAATGTACACTCAGCAAAAAAACAGAAATGTAGAAATTTTTGCAAATTTATTAAAAAAGAAAAACTGAAATATCACATGGTCATAAGTATTCAGACCCTTTGCTGTGACACTCATATTTAACTCACATGCTGTCCATTTCTTCTGATCCTCCTTGAGATGGTTCTGCTCCTTCATTGGAGTCCAGCTGTGTTTAATTAAACTGATTGGACTGATTAGGAAAGGCACACACCTGTCTATATAAGACCTTACAGCTCACAGTGCATGTCAGAGCAAATGAGAATCATGAGGTTGAAGGAACTGCCCAAGGAGCTCAGAGACAGAATTGTGGCAAGGCACAGATCTGGCATATTTCAGTTTTTCTTTTTTAATAAATTTGCAAAAATTTCTACATTTTTGTTTTTTTTCTGTCAAGATGGGGTGCTGAGTGTACATTAATGAGAAATAAAATGAACTTTTTTGATTTTAGCAAATGGCTGCAATGAAACAAAGAGTGAAAAATGTAAAGGGGTCTGAATACTTTCCGTACCCACTCTATGTATATATGTGTTTGTATGTATGCTGGCTGCTGGAACACCTACATTTCCCTGCTTAGATGAATAAAGTTTATCTTATCTCATCTTATTTCCTCCCTTTAAAACAGTCTATTATTCAAATCTGTGCAAATGCAATTTTTTTTACCTGATTGGCCAAGGTTTCTGTCTGCTGCTGGATGTCAACATTGGACGGTAAAATCCCACTGATTCGTAATGTGCCGATGGGCAATTTGAAGTCAGCACTCTGCCTGAGGAGGAGAAAGTGTGTGGAGCTACAACAGGTAAGATATGAGCATTTAGAGGAGACACTTTATGTTAAAAGAGAAACACACTCACTGTTTCTTAAAAACTGGAACTGCTGACAGAGCTGTGATGAAGGCATCTTCAGACTGCTGCAAAGTCCTCCCGAGCTAAGCATTAAAACACACAAAGAAGGGCAAATTCTCAATGAGCAAGCACCTTTCTCTTGTTTCACTTGTTCCAGGGTCAAGTCACAGGAATGCTGCTAAGTTAGCATTCACTCAAAGTGTCACCTTTACATGCGTCCAGCTGTATTACCTTTGCTGCAATACTCCTCCTGAAGAAACAGGCCATATCAGTTCGACATGTAAACACAATTTATTGATTAAAAAAAAAAAAAGTAGATATACTGTATCTGCTGGTGGTTCACATTGACATGGCTACTGCACTTCCTCGTTAGTGACGCCGCTTCCTCTAAGCTCGTCCAATCACAGGCTTCGTTCGCAAGCGTCGTCATAGGCTCGTAAAGGTTCGTTCGATTCTTCTCTCCATTGCTCCCGCCATGATGGTCGTTTCGGTCACTTTGTCAACCAAACTGCAGGTGTCAAAGCCTTACAGATTTACTAGAACATCATATATGTATGGTGAGTTGGTAGAAATCAAGACTAGAATCATCAAATGTATTAATTCTGAGTTGTTTATTTACACAAAGTAAATGGGTTTCTAGTCCTGTACAACTTAAAATATCTTGTAGGGGATATGGGTGCACTGGTTTCACTGGGGTTGTACTCTTTATTAGTGGTTAACTTTACTTTAATATTAAACTATTATGTTTATAAAGTTCTTGTCTTTCAAGTCAAAACAAAAGCCAGTCACTTTAATAACAAGTTTTTTCTAGGTCCCAATTCAAACCACGCTTTCTAATCTGTCACATCTACGCCAAGTAATATATTATTTTACAATGAATGCCATCAGTTAATACGTATCTTTAGGTAACTTTTGGATTCTTTGTAGCGACTTTACTTTTTCATGCCAGTCAAATGTCTTACAGAGCGATTTGAAAATGAAAAATAAAAAGCTCCTTATATTATAGAGCGTCTTTTCAAATGTTTGTGGAAATCTTTTGGCACTAGGGGTAGCCGCTGAAGTCCAATTGATGCACATGTATAGAAACAAAGATTTGTGGTGGGATCCCTTCAAAGATGTCAACTGAAGTTTATCCTCAAACAATGAAACAAAAAAAGTAATTGTGTAAATGCTTTATTGGTTTTATTTTCTTGAATCAAAGCCCCATTAAACCTACAGCAAATCAAATCATGACATTTTTTTTTTTTTATACAATGAACAAAAGTCAAGCAAGAATAAAAAAAATACAGTGTATACAAATGTAAAAGCAGTAATTTTCAGAACAGTTTAAAAACAATGCTGTAAAAAAAAAAAAAAGCCCAAGACGCCCATTCCCGGAGTCCAGGCTGTAGGTGTCCTTGGTTTTTTCACTCATCAATATTCCCTCCCTTTTTTAAAAATGTACACAAAGAGAAGCTTCACAACTAACGTCTCCCTGTAAAATTAACTAAATTCAACAAAAATTAAATCAGAAGGCCATGTGTGGGTGTTGGCAGTCAGCCTTTTACGAAGGCATCAGAACAAAGCCAAATAAATATTGACACGGCCTTTAAGAGGCCACTGGTAGAGTCACAGAGAATCCTGGCGGCAGGAAGCCCTCCTAACTCTGGCACACACAGCAAACGTAGACTAACTGACGCCTGAGGCAGCGAGTCCACATAGAGGCGATATGGCACAGCTAGGAGAAAAGTCCATCTAGACCCACGGAGTCCATGGAGCAGATTGCATTAAATGGTAATCCTCGATATCAGACGCCAAGGCTCAGGAAACATCTGTGAAGGACAAACACAGGGATCACATCGGAAGGATTTTTCATTTTCCTTGTGTGTGCGTGTGTGTGTGTGTGTGTGTGTGTGCATACCTGGCCAATAAATCTGATTCTGATTTTCAACATTTTATATGATAGGGCGAGGAATTTTCTTTAGAGCTCATCATTGTGATGTGAAAGTGAGTGTAGGCTGGACCAGCCAGCAGAGAAGTTCAGTCTGAAGTTTACAGCACACTTTAACAAAATCATACTATACATTTTTTTTAAATCAAGGTAAGACTTTGTAGTCAGAAAAAAATGGTAAGTTGATTTCTTGGCTAATTGTCACATTTTTAGGTTCACCATTCAGCATTGTGGAGAGTGGACCAGGCTTTAGTTTGTTCATTTTTTGTGTTTTAAACTTGTGCACACAGGGCATAAATGTACAATTGTGTTCATTTTGATTGGACGGCCCTTGGCACCCCCTGCAGAATCTATGAACAGGAATAATTGTATAATATGAATCAGCATAGCTTGTTTTTTGTCTTTATAGAAGCATTGCTCAAATTAAAATTTAAGTCGAACTGTCTCATGTTAAAGTCGCACCAGAGAGTTTAAAATCTATCCAAATATAAAATGCTTTTTATATCAAGAATAATTCAACTGAAGACATAAATTTATTTATTTAACAGACTTAACCGCAGAATCAGGTTCTCATTAACACTTGAACGACTCAGCAGGTGAACTGTAATAATGGGGCGTTATTACAAAGCTACAGTGATTGAAAAAGCTGCTTTCTCATTGGATACTGTGAATGCTCTGTCAATGTAGACAGTTAAACCTGCTTCATTGCACTACTGCATTCCTCTGTAACATGGATGTATCTACATAGAGGATGTGCAGTCACAGCCGAAACACATACTGGTGTCAGGAATCAGGAGGATATAAGCAGGAAATGGTTTTAAGCCAGGTGAGAGTGGCTTCTACTCAGTTATTATTTCTTGACGATGTTGTTCACGAGCAGTAAAGATTCACAGATGATGTTATGTTTGTTTGTTTAGAAACATTTGGAACTGTAAAGTTCTATTAATAAAGCCACAGTACCTAGTACATATATCACAGAGCCTACATGTGTTCATAGTGATAAATATACCCCCCCCCCCCCTGTTTCACTTAGGTAAAATGAGGACATTAAATGTCAGCAGACCAGACAGTAAAAGAGCGATGATGACTCAGCATCTAAAGACAACAGAATTAATGCTTGGACTTAAAATCCTACAATGTCTCATTAACATGGCTGGTTTTACAGCGAACGATAATAAAATTCATTTGTCATAGATGTCACAGATTTAATGAAATCAGCAAATAAACTGGACTTCTATTGGTCCAAATCCTGAAGTTACTGCCGCATATTTTATCATGAAGTGAAAGTATCCGACCTGATCACAGTTCCTTTTTACTCTACTGAATGAATAATCATTTCTTAAGAGTGGTACTGTGTTCAGTTGTCACTTTAGAAATAAATGTGAGTGACATTTTATCAGACGATAAAATCAAGACAGCCTGTATTCAAAAAAAAAAAAAAAAGGCTGAGTATTTGTAACTCCCTTCAAACTGCTCCCATCTGTTCTGCGATTGACCAGACGAACAGGATCAACAAACACAGAAGGAACGTTTTACAGACAGGCTAAAGTAAAAAAAAAGACATAAAACTATCACTGAAATTTGAAGAATCTAAAAGGTATCCCTACACGCTGACCACACGCAGAGTTTATTCAGTTTAACATCCATCAATGAGCGAACCGGCCTTTCAAATCAGGTTCATATAAATGTCAGGAAACCCGATTTCTAGCAACATATCAACACCCTACCTACATCCATGATTCACCCGGGTCACCTCTTTACGTTGGAACAACCTACATATCAAATAAATCCTGGAGGAATCACATCCCCTGAATAATGTACTGTACGTGTCTGACAATAATTCTTGTACTCACAGCTAGCCGGCTGCTCTCCAAACCGTCGCATCAGTTGATCATGCGTGAACTTCACAAACGCATCATATTGCTCTGTTGGAAGAAAAACATTTATCAGCTCCTTTCATTGGTCACTTTGCAGATTGTTCTCTATTACTTTTTTTTTGTGTCTTCTAAATATAATACCTGCGAGCTTTGTCGTCAGTATCTCGTCGTACTCCTCCCTGATTTTATCCTCTCGCTCTTTCAGTAGTCGCTCACAGATCATCCCCACCTGTCTCAGGGAAAATAAAGGCTGCTCTTTTCTGGTGGGAGACGAGGCACCCGCGGACGTACCTGTGAGGAGAGTCAACTCAATTAATAATACACGATGGAAGATGCTGCAACCCGGACATTTTTAGAATTTTAACTAAATATCAGACAACAAAAATAATTTAACTTGAAGCCATCAAAAGCTGATAATCTCGCTGAGGTACCTTTACACTTTATCACAGGGTGGGGTCGATAAGAAAATCTACAAAATAAGAGGAAGGATGAGTTCTGTCTTTCTTTTGTATTTTATGGCTAAGTGGGGAAAAAGCGTCAGCCACTGTTGACCAGTCATTTCACTGACAGAAACGGGTGAAAAGAAAGTAATGCAAGACATTTATAAAGCTGTAACAAAGACTACAGTACCCATGTCATCCTAGCCAAGACCTACACCAACCACTCAGGATAATCTTGTGGCAGTAAAGCTGAGTGTCATTGGCAGCTGCCCACCTGGTAGAGCAGATCCACTGTGGATGTTCTGCAGGTCCAGAGGACAACAGCCGTCCGCCTGCTGGAAAGCACTATCCAGGTGTCGTCTTTTCTGCAGCCGCTTGTACTCCTGTTTGATGTTGTGTAGAATTTGCTCTGGAACAGGAAGAAAACAACATGACCCATCATGGAAAAAAAAACAAAAAAAAACATTTCCCCCTAGAAGCTGCACAGAATTTGCAAAATCTAGTCACTTGTCGTGGCCTTGCAGATCGCAAACAGGGGCATTAAAAAGCACTTTAAATCACCGTCCAAATAAGTTCTTATAATGACAACAAGGTTCATCATATCCATACATTACTGTGCAGCAGAATAGTATTTAAAACCATGTGATCTTTAAACTTCACAGCCCAAACCACTTCATTTAAAGAAAATTGGACACTAGGTGTAGGCCGAATTACCCACTGGACAACAAAGACTCATATCACATTGTTTGCACTGTGTGTATAACAACAGAATGGATTATTAATAACAACTATAATTAAAGTTGACGGAATGTGGATGAAGTTTTGTTGAACCCCAGACAGAAACCGGTGCAGGATAAGGAAATGCGAATTAGAGGAAACCTTAAAGTAGCCCAAAGGAAACATTTGAAGACGGTTTTTTCTACATTTCACCTCAAGTGTGAACCAAACGGTGTGTTTAATATTCTTACCTGTGGTGAGTCTGGACGACACTTCCCCGAAAGGCGAGGGCTCCATACGCAGATACTTCTGAGGTGAAGACACTGGAGACATGATGGGAGCGCACCTCCTTCTTTTCGGGGACGCTTGGCTCATTAACGGATCGAAGTCCAGAGTCCTCTTCAGGGTCGCCCCACAAGCCATCACAGCTAAGATGTTTTCCCCCCTCCCCACCAAAAAAATAATATATATATATATATCAAAAAGGAAAACTTTAAATATTCACCAGTTGTCTGGGAATCTCGCTGACCTGGGCCCCTGGGGGGGGTTTGTGCTGCTAATGCTATAGCTCCTTCGGCTGCAGCGGTTCCGGTCTGAAGAGAAAAACGCAATATGTTCGTCTCTCGTAGCTTTTAGCTGATAAATCTTGTGTGGTGTAAATCACCGAGAGTACCTTCAAGTTATAAGCAAAAACTACAACGTGGTAAATTCGCTATTTATTCAGATGATTGAAGATTTCCCAGCACTGGTTACGAGAAACGAACCACAACGGATCGGACTAGGATATATATTTTTTTGAGTCATTGGTATTGCGCATGCGCAACACAGTGGTCCCGTCTTGGTACTTGTAGTTTTTAATCCCAACGACAGCCGTTTTTAAAATGAGCTAAAATACTACATTTCCCGTTTACCTTGAAATTGCTCTTCTTTTTTCAAATTTGTTTTGTTTGCTTACACAAAACATGCTCGCTTTCACTTTAACTTTTACAGATAGGCCTTCACGAAAAGTATTTTTGTAAACGTTTTTTTAATTTTTTATCGTAAACAAATAGTTATACTATTCGTGTTTGTGACTATTAGACAAAACGGACTTTAAGATATGGTTAGTCAAATTATTTAGAACATGTTAATTACACAGGACTTTACAACTTTTTCTCATTCAAAATTGAAGGTTTAAACCGTCTGTGGTTTAAACTCAGGCCAGTTGACAAAAATACAATGTCAAAGAAAGTTTCATGAAGTGGTTACGTTTTAAATGCTATTCCTCAAGAACTTTGAATTTCCTTTGTTGTTGAAATGTGCTTTATAAACTTGCCCTGCCCTGCCTTGCCTTATATAGAACTAAAAATATGTCCGGTTCAGATATAATAATACCGATTTAATTTCGATTCAAAACAAAAAATGTGTTGCCAATTACGATGTTAAGATTTTGAGAAGGAAAAAAGTGGTAGGCTACAATAATACATTGTTCTTTTATGGTATAACAATGTATTATTTATCATAATATATAAGGTGGAACTTAAAATATTACTTTGGTTTCAAAACTTTCTTTGTCGTCTTTTTTTTATTTGAAACAAGACCCACCTCTTGCACAGACAGTAAAATGTTGAAACATTTCCCTTCCGACATTACTTCCCCATCCACCCCTTTACACACACATTGCTATTTTAAACTGTGCTAAAATGCAGGGAAGGTGGATGTGCAACTTGTGCTTCAACACTTATTCTCCAACTCAAAAAGAGGGAAATTATGCTATGTCAGTGTTACATTTTACTTTTTACGTCACTATTTTCCAATCACTTAAATCTATTGTGTGACCTGACAATATGAATCCTTATGTCCGGTAAAGGTGATTTACTTCTTTGGTTTAAGACTGGATTTCTCTGACATTTTTTTCCCAGTTTCATATCTTAAATGTGGGGAAAACCAAAACGTTTCTATAGCTCAAGATTATGTCTTGACATGGCGTGTTTAGTTTGACCAACAATCCAAAACCTGAAGATTTTCAGCTTACCATCACGTGACAAAGAGGAGCTGCCGGCTGTATATGTTAATCAATATATCGGCTAACTGTATTGGTTCTAGCCTGGACCCTTTGTTTATTTATTTATGTAGCCTAAGTGTTGTGTTCAACCTTTAAATACAGCCTTTTACACATGGCAGTGTCAGCCTGTCTCATGACTTCTCTTAGATTGGAGTATTTGCTGGATAAATGAACACAATCCTCCTGACATCTGGGCAAACAGATGTTGTAATTTGTCTTCTCCTTGTAAGCCCAGAGATGAGAAGAGAGGAGCAGATGTTGCAGTAAGAGGATGCTGTCGTTGCCATTTTCATTATTATTATTATTTTTTCACTTTCATTGTTATGAAAGTAACTACAGTAGTGGTGAGAAAGTTAAAACAAATAAATAGAATTGCCGTCTTTCCTCACTGCAATAAAAGATCTTCCACCAGGGAGCAGTAGAACAGCATAGTTGGCTTTGCGGCTGTCGTTCCTCCTGAATGTTTGGACAAATTAAACCACAAAGTGCTGCGACCTTCTGCTTCTGTCGTCACGTCATCAATCAAACAACCACAGGCGAAGATGACAACCAGCTGCGACTTTATTGAAAAGTTTGAAAACAGCAATACTAAAAACACATTTGACGGATTGTGATTTTTAAGTCGTCATTATGCCAACACTGTACAGAAGCCACTTGACAGTTGACATATTGATCTTTAATACTCAATAATACGAGAGGCAGCAAAGCATACTGATAAACAGCTTGTCTGGATAACGTTACACCAAGATAAATGTCTATAGAACAATTGTGCTGTGAGATTTCTAGATTCAAAGTATTGTAAGAGAAATCACACCTTCTTCTTAGTTGTTTTTTTTTGTAAGCTCAGTTTGTTGATTCTCCACACAATGCATACACAGACTGCCATTCAAGGTACCCGCTAATGAAAAGACCCATTTTTCTTTGTTTAGATAAGAAAAGAAATGAACAGCAGACATATTTGTATTTAGAGTCACACCAGAAATACTTCACTAGGCCTGTGCATGGGTTGCTTTTATTTTCCCAAATGAGGCCCCTGCTGCAACAGTAGCACTATAACAACTCACTGCAATGATTCAAAAAGGCCAAGTCACAAGGTATCACACACATACAAGGCCGAATCCAGAAAACCCTACATTTCATGAAAGCAGCTTTAGTCAGAAACATTTTCAGTTTGCCACAGCGTGTCCAGCACACTGCATTCAACTTCCGTTTTGATGATTTCAAGGCTGTTATTGTTTTTTTTTTTACATGAACAAGTCTATTTGAACATTTTATTTAGCAAGAAAACACTGTACATTTGTTAGGTTTGCATTTGAACAAAGACACGTTACTTTAAAGGTCAAACAGCCAGCGAAGGAAAGAAATGGACGTCACAGAAAAAAAAGCCATTTCAGATTGGACAAACTCAAAAACTTGTGAATCACTTTACCGCCATCTGATTAAAGTTTATTTGTGATGGTGACAAATGTTTTGGTTGCTTTGAGTATGAATGGCCTCTCATTTGTACCCCTCAAAATCTATTCCTACATGTGCCCCTCAATGAGTGTTGTCAAAAGAAGTATAAAAAGAAAGTAGCCATGTTTAATGGCAATTTTGGAAATACACACTCAGAGTCATTAGAGCTCTCTGCTCATAGAAATGCCTATGTGCAACACGTAGATGTACAAAGTCAAGATGCTAATTGTTATAGGTATGGTGTGCGACACGTTAAGAGTCTAAATGACACATGAAAACATCTCGAACTTAGAACATCAGTAGCCCCTTATCCCGTAAATTAAGATACAGTATATTGTTTTCAAAACCTGAATTCACAGTACAAAAATATAATATGCCCTTCACTAACTGGATATCATGAAGTCTATGGTTAACCGCAGACTTATGATCGTCTGTCATAATCCTTGCAGAATATGAGTCCCTTCTCTGAACTTGTGATACCGTTTGGCACTTTGGCACACCACGTACTCACACACTGACCTAAAATAATGCAACCACTGAAGCGTCTATGTGAGGGTGTACTTTCAGGAGAGGATTTTTTATTTTTTCGCTCTGGAATATCTAACAGCTGCTTTATTGTGTTGAATGGCATTTTTTTTTTCTTTTTTCTCGGGAGGATAACATTTACACAGTTTCCCTTGTGATAGCCAATTAGACGGCCTCTGCTGAAGTTTCAGTGGACACAGATATGGTTACTTTGGCTATTTTCACAGTGGTCTTCACGCAGCTCTCTGCAGCCCTGTTGGCAGAAATGTTGGCGTTCCTGTTCTGGCAGTCCGACTCGAGGCTATTGTCCAACTGCTGCGCGCTTCCCCTGCAGGCATGGCAGGAGCTGAGGAAAGCATGCCGCAGGTCTTTGCTCCTCAAGGCGTAGATGATGGGGTTAACGGTGGAGTTGAGGAGGCAGAGCATGCTGCAGAATGCGAACACCGTCTTGATGTCATTATCCATCCTCCAGAAGAGGTCGTAGACCATGATGGCGAGCACTGGGCCCCAGCAGATGACCAGCACCACCAGGATAAGCACCAGGGTCTTGGCCAGACGGATGTCCATGCGAGTCTGCTCCGGGCGCGCCGTCTGCACTTTAGTCCCGTCTGCGGAGTAGACGACAAGGCTCTTCTGGGAGGTGCGGCTCAGCATTCGCACAGCGTGGTGGTGTGCTTTCCACAGGATGTAAATGTAGGCATAGATGATGAAAAGAACGAGGACACTGGTTATGCCGATCCAGAACAACAGGTAGTTCTCGTCAATCAGAGGGAAGATGTCTGAGCAAACAGAGTTGAGGCGCTTACAATTCCAGCCCAGCAGAGGTAGCACTGCTATGATGATGGAGATGCTCCACATCATGCAAAAGGCAATGACAGCCTTGGTCCGTGTCACAATACGCCTGTAGGCGAGAGGCCGGTGTATGGAGATGTAGCGGTCGATAGCGGTGAGGAAAAGACTCCCTACAGACGCGGTGAACGATGCCGTGACTCCGCCCAACTTGAAGAGGAAAATATTGGGGCTGTCCTTCCGATGAAACACATGGAAGTCCAGAAAGCTGTAGACGAATATAACGCTCCCCAGCAGGTCAGCCACAGCCAGACTGCCGATGAAGTGGTAGGACGGTCTGCAGCGGAGAGTCCGCGACTGCAGGATGACGCAGAGCACCACCACGTTCTCCAGCACGGTGAAAGTTCCCAGAGTCAGAGACAAAACAGCCACGGCCAGCTGCTGGCTGGGCGTCAGGATCATGAAACACTCCATGTCCATAAAGTTCTCCCCACATTGTATGGTGTTGCTCTCATCTCTGAACGTGCTCCTGTTGCTGAACAAGTCTGTGCCGTTGGTGGGGAAGGGGATGTTCTTTAGGATGAGCTCCTCGTCCCCGGGCACTTTGTCTGGGAAAGAGTTGCTGCGAAAGGCAGATAAAGGTTTCTGCATGGAGAAACCGCCCTTGAAGTTGACATCGTTGAGAGGGCCCTCGTAGCTAGCATCGTTGGAGCCCAGAAACTGTAAACCAGATGTAATAGTCCGAAAGGTGGTGTCGGCCACACCGTCCAGCACAGACTTCATGGCTGCGTATGAGAGTGAAGCTGCAGCCTGAGACGCCTGGACAACCTACAAATTGATGACATAAATTTCAGACATGCTGGAAAAACCTAAAAATCAATCCCATGCATATAAAGTCAAAATATTGCCGGTAATCGATTGTTTGTGCTCACATCTTTGATTCTAAAATGGCTTTAAAATGGATGAATTCACACTTTGAAAATACTTGTTATTGCAAATATTTGCACGTTTGATAGTTTTATACAATTGCAGGTGTTTTTTTTTTACATTTATCCCATGATGGTGTAAAAATTATAGTATTAACTTTGCACTTATCATCACATTTGTGATAATTTAACCCCTACTTCTTATGACTAGAAAACCATACTTCACAAACAGTAAACTAAGAGGTTAAAATAAAAACGCATCCTTTTTTCTGAGATTTATAAGCAATATCAACAATTCCTCTAGACCTGTATAGACTGGAACAAATGTGCAGAACAGATGAACAAGCTAATTATTCTATAAAACAATTAACTAAAGTCATCATGCACGATCAGATTTTGTTTTTCTAATTTTCTGCAAGGGTAGGGGTGCATATAACTGCGGAGTATATTGGCTATTACATAATGTAGATGTGCAAAATCTGTCGTTATTTTAAGATAACGCTATTTAGTGAGTCTGAAAACGCAGTTTAGTAATGATGTAAGATGTTAGAAAAAAGGGGAAAATCACTAAAACAAATCACGAATCTGCACAAATTAAAAAAAAAAAGATGAAGAATAAAGATAGGCTACTTTTAACCTTAGTAAAAGCGACCCAAAATATGTTTAGGTAAGTGAAATTGTAGCAGGAAAAACCATACTTAAAAAGCCACAGTCGAGAATTAAAAGATGAAAATTGCTTTTTACCTTACATAATTTTTCCAAGTGCGCAGAATCGCCCTTTATCACCGCGCGTAAATCCAAGTCAGAAGCGCATCGTCCACAGGTCTTATATAAAAGAAGAGGCCAACGTGCGTGTGTCAAAACGAAAACACAATTTCCATCCCTATAGTTACTTTTCTTACTCAGAGTTTATGCGTGAAATAAGTTTGTCAGTTCTTTGTTCAAGTGCTGTGTGTCGCTCAGTGAGTGCGCTCCTGCTCTGTGGGTACAGGTTGCTGCTGCTGCTGCTGATGCTGCTGCTGACTCCAGCGTCTCTCCAGTCTTTCTCTGACTCTCTCCCTCTCTCTCTCCCTCTCTCCCTCTCTCTCTCTCTGAGTCTTCACACTTATGAAGCGTCGCTCCTACAAGTCCTGTCACGTGTTTCCATATAGCTCCTCTATCTGCCCTGCCCATGAAGCTCTCCAGTGCGCGGCATAGGAACAAGGCAGACGACAATGGTGGCGGACGGATTATACAAAAGAAGAAAGAAAATCTGATTTGAATTCCCAAAGCTCCTCAGCAGCGGACGATGTAAGCTCGGACAAAGAACATCAACACAACACATGGTTAATTAAAAAACGAGATTAAGAACAGCTCAGAATAAATGTCTTATCTACCTTATTTAAATTGTGACCACAACTTCTACAATGAACAGGAACAAAACGCTGAATTTCTCCCATTATCTCTCGTTATGAAGTACCTTTGTAATGCTTCTGAACAGACTGTCCTTTAGTTTTCAGAGAGATAAGGTTGCAGACTTCATTACTAGTCAGTATGAGCCTGTTTGTTGTTTGAAAAACCAACGGAACTAGAGAATCAGGAACAACAAAAGGACAATTTTGAGCATCATTTCATGTCCTTCCACACATTACAGTTTTTACGTTTTACAATTTAAGAAGTTTTCCTTCCTGATATTTTTTAATTATCCAAATTAACTATTTTGAGTGCTTAAAAGCGCATTAGTGTTTGTATTCTGAGGACAATGCAAAAGGAAAGAACATTTGAGCAGCTTAACAACCCATTTATGCAGTTAGAAATAAAACTCAGGGGGACTCTCTTTTGGATTAACCATCAAGTTATCAGCACATTGAATCAGATTGAATCACCACACATCAACGACTCAGATCCTGCTATGAATCCCAATAACAAAGACATGGCCTCTGTTTGGCTCCAATAAAAAGAGATTCAATCCACAGATTAAGAATGATCCAATTTCTAGTTATTCATATGGCTACATCCATTCATCCATACCTAATGTTTTTCCTTGTTTTACACAATGGGAGAATCAGAAGTGCAGGTCGAGTAGGCAGGAGTCGAGTGGCTGTTTAGTTATAGATAAAAAAAAGAATAGATGCATTAATGTGACATTTTGCAGCCACGTATCTCAGCAGACAGAAGATGCAAAACCTCTGACACTTCAGGACTCAAATGAGGTTATGGCTCTATCGTCATCACAGGTGTTGTTATTAATATCGCTTTGCCGTGCGGCAGCCATCTGTGTCAGAACTGAACAAAATGTTCCCCTTCACAAAAACGATAAGACATTATGGTCGGGGCTGAGGGAAATGTCTAAAAAAAACATGCATGTTGAGGTGTTTTAGGTTAACTGCTCTGTACATTTCTAATTTACATCCTATTTTTGGCAAAATGATCTGCTGTCAGCTTCTCAGTTTAAGGAGGTACCTGTAAAACTCTCTGAGCTGATTACCATTAATTATTAGGCAAACAGATAAAAAAACACCTTGTTTCTGATTTTCAGTACAGTTTGAATTCACAGTTTATTCATTTGTTCATGTTTTGTACTGTAGACTGTATATTAAGATGGACAGAGAAACTGCCACCTGGGACTGAAGCCAAAAGATTTAGAGCTGCGCCTGCTTGCTGGCTGTAATAAAGGTCATTAACCCCGCCTCCTCCAACCATAACCGTGACTGTAAAGTTGAAGTACACGTTAAGTACATTTTTCTCAAACATGGATTCTGTTGTGATGGTTAGCTATTATCATGATGATAAATGCACAGGTGTTCCTCTTTCAGAGAAGTCTTGTTTTAATTTGTTATTTGATATTTAAAATACAGGATGTAAGGTCATGACTGACAGCTCTATTGATAAATGCTGCTATCAGTTGGATTAGCTGGGTAGAGGAGGACATGCGAGAGAAATGGTAACAAAAACTAACAATGCAGTCATTGGACTTTCTTATAACATCAGTGATTGCTTAAAATCGACACAAGGCTTTGGCTTGCTGCATCTTAAGTACGTTGTTCCAAGTACTTTCATACTTAAGTGCATAATTTATATTAAAATGTATTGCAAAATGCAGTCTATTAAATATCAAATGGTTGACTCCTGACAGTCCAATCCTGAGTGTTGAAGTCAGATGCTTCTCAGCCTCAATAGTAAGGATCTCTGTCACTTTGCAGAACGATAGTAAGACTAGGATTTGAGACAGAAGGGAGGGCACACACTAGCCAGTAAAAGTAAAAGCCAGGTCATTTTATTATTTTAAATACAATTTAATTGAAGGAAAATGTGTTATCAAGCATGCATATTGTTTTGGGGAAAATACTCCAACTGATCACCATTTGAAAGTAAAAGAAAGGGTCAAAATCTGAGTTTGGACAGTCCATCAACGTTAAATGATGATGAGAGTTTGTGTAAGGAGTGTACCACATGGATGAAAGCGATGATGAACTGTCAGGGCTTTAAGTAGCCGATGATGATGGTAAAGTGTGTGTGAGTGTTACCACGGTTTACAGTCCAAAGAACAACTTGAGAAGTGAAAAATGGAGTTGGAGTCGAGTTGGACACATCGCAGAGGGGACTGTTAGCTACACATGCATGTAGATATCTGTTCATATGGATTAAATAAGGATAATTCATCGTCAAATAATAGCCAATGTTTAAAGTACATCTGTCATAAATCAGCTGCAAGCAAGCGAAATAATTAAGCATCAATGGCAACAAAGAAAAAACTAAACAAATGAAGGGCATCATTCAAAATTAATCCGCTCCCTATTCTCATCAGATCTACTGAGGCTTTGTCATTTTCACCACACGGAGCAGTTAGACTTTCGGCAGCAGGGCGATTTGTCAGACTGACGGGTGTACTGTGACTGTTTCTCTGACTTGGTTGGCATGCTGACCTGTGACTGAGCAATGACTGATGGCTCAAGCAAAGCTCATGGCCATCTGCGTTTCAAATGCGCTACGTAACATTTTGTACTGTATTGACTCACTTTGGGTCCATGGATCCTAAAATAAAACTCAGGATGGGGGGGGTGGGGAATCTTAGAAGATCTCTATTCCAGTTTGAAATTGAATCAACTAATTACTATTCAGTGTTAAATGTCAGACTCCCAAAGATTGTGTTTGGTTAATTGTTTTGCCATTTAAACCTATTAAAATGCAAACACAGAAATGACCATAATAGAACAGAATCATTTCAGAATATGTCACTACAACATCACAGTGTAAACTATGACAACATTACGTGTAGCCGGACATGGCCAGACAAATGGTATCAACTTAGTTTACTTACTAACTTTACAAACTGGGCCGACCTTTAACAAATCAGAGGAATGAAATACGTGATGAACCAGTAAACTATAACAAGTTCCAACATCTGGATCTTAGCATGGCATCTAAAGTCTAATACACAGATGTTTGGCATGATGATGTCATGTAGTCAACACTTCCCATTTGAATTGAATGTGATCTAGCTTTATGTTTGTTCGATAGTCAGGTAATGAGGTGAGGATATTAAACTGGTTTGCAAATGATCTTTCTGATTGGGGGGGGGGCCGTAATGATTTGCTTAACCTGAGAACCCATCATCTATTGTGCGACAACGATTCTGCGCCTGACAGCGACGGCCAACTTTTCCGAGCTTCAGATTGTCAGCCAGTATAGATACAGGAAGTCTGGCTAATGGACGAAAATAATCGTTAGCTTATTATGAAGTATTTCTACAGGTAGAGAGTCACAAAATACTTTTTGTAAATGGTGATGCCACTTGGGATTTTTTTTATTAATGTTTTTTGGGGCCCTTTTTCTGACTTTTTTTTGGAGATACAGGACGGTGGATAGAGACGGTGGAGAGAGAGAAAGTGTGGAATGACATGCGGCAAAGGAGCCACTGGGCGGATTTGAACCCAGGCAGGACTTTACCCTCTGTACATGGGGTGCGCACTAACCAGCGTCCCCTCTTGAGATATTTTTTCAAAATACATTTCAATACAATAAACAAAATCTAAACAATAAGCCTAATGCTGTATGTCAGCTAGCGTTATTCTTTATTTCACTTTTTCCATCTTTAAAAAACTACCAACTAAAACAAGTTATCATTAATAAATATTACAAAGTTAAAAGTTGGCAAATTAAGTTTTGAAAAATATCCTTTGGCTTTCCAAGAACAGTTGATTTCTGAAGTTTTCCTTGTTGCCTCACATCACGGTTCATACATCAGGGATGCTGGATGAGAGACAGAAATAGGAGTTCACTCAGGACTTATAATGCATCTTGCACCAGACTAATATCCTGCCTCCTCCCAGCAGGTTGTTCCATACTCAAGGCTTTTTTTCATGATGCACTTCTGACTCACAGAATCCATTAAAATATCTCAGATACCTCACTCATGCATCGGTAAGAACCCAATCGATATGAAAAGGTGAACTAAGGTTGAAAAAAATAAATGATTGTCTTATGTGAAGGGTTGTTTTGCCCGAGTATTACCTTGATTGGAATCTTGAAATGTACTAAAGAAACTCAAGAGTTTCGTTGCTCCTGCTTCCAAGTAAACAAGTGAATCGGGTCGTCAGCCCGATCCAGCCTATGCATGAGTCAGCTCCATCTGAAAGTAGGCCACATGTACTGTTAGCAGATACTTTTATCTTTTTGCCAGTGAGCAGTTCAAGTAACTTGAAGATCATTTATCAAACATGGCACTTCATAATTCTGCATTCGAATGTGAAGAAAAACTACAGACAAATAGGTGTTTGGTGCCTCTACAAATAGGTACAATCAAGCTACAACGTCTGTGTTGCACTACTGAGCTGCAGCTGCACCATCAGTTCCTGACAAATTATTGTTTATCCCAGTTCTACCAAGACCATGCTGAACCTTTGCTTGATTATAATAATCACTGAACAATCATCAGTAATTGTGAGGAATAGATTTGATTAGTTTTTAATCAGGTGTTGGGGGGGGGTCATCTGTCAGTGATTATTGTCTGTATCTATCATGTCTAGAGGAAGCGTCACCATAGCGTGTGTGAAATTATTGGTAAATTGATGTGTCATTTCTCCCTTGAAAGCCTGTGT